CTTTACGTGTGAACAACCACTAACGGTGCCAATACTGGATGGAACTAGGGGCTCATTCACAAGTGCAGCAGGCACAAAGCAATCCAAGTGTGTTTAACAGGTGGTGAGGAGGGGATATGTTGCCTCTTTACTGCCATGTAATGCAGCGATTGTGACACAGTAGTATGGCAATTAGAGGTTTAAATCAGGTGTGAGAAGGTGAAACTGTGCCTGATGACCTTTGACTTCTGCCATGTTGTTCAGGTAGATCTCTACCTCTTTAAGGTTGCTTACCCCTGCTCTATGGCCTCTTTCACACAGGAGACTAGGGGCAATATAAACAGGAGCCTGGGCCACAGTTTTACTGCTCCCCAGCCACCCAACTAAAGGATAACCAGCAGCCAAAGGAGCCATCATGGCCACTACAATTTTTTTTTTTTAAGAGAATGGCCACGGCAAATTTAATTCAATACACCAACCTGTCAATTTGGCAGTTCAAGTCAATGGACCCGCTTAGTCCAGGTTTGCAAGTGTCAAATGCTCGGCTCATGGTTGGGTGCATTATCGTCATTATAAAGTGTCGTTTTGCTAAGAAAAAAAGCAAAAACAAAAAAAAAGGAGGAAACAGACACCCAGGAGGCAGCGGGATCACCTGCTGAATGCCTAACAGTGGCTGTCAGTAGCCAAACTCTAAATAATGATCCACCGCAGATTGTTTTTAGGCCCCTTTCACAAGGGCTGTATCTGGTTTTGCTCAGGGGGGGATCTGTCTGCTGATCCCCTGCTGAGCTGAACAGAGATGCCTGATGACAGGTCTGTATGCACTTCCCTTATGCAGAGCAGACACGGACGTAAACGGATCTCCTCTATGGGCAGTCGGATGTAAATGGACCGGCTTTCCGATTACATCTGCCCTCCAATCCGGTCTGCCCAAATGGAGGGGTACGAATCCCCTTTCTGTTTGATTTTATCAGATCAGATTGGAGGTAGCTGGATGTAAAGGAACACAAGTCTGTTTAGGTCTGATTGTCCATAGAGAAGAACAGAAGGTCCGGTTGGGTCCATCTGAAAATGGACAGGCAGAATCAACTGGACTGCCAGCGTGAAAGGGACCTTAGAGCATTCGCTAGTATGGACCAGATCACAGCACCAAAAACTAGAAGTTGGAAGAAGCTGAGAGCAAAAGAAGGGGACTTTTGTGAATTAAGAGTACATACTTGAAGAAAATTGACCTTTTTTAAAACTGAGTTTAGTATCCCTTTAACCTCCAACTCGGCCAATTCAGTAGAATTCTTCAAAAAAGCCGGATATGTTTCTAAATGCATAACATATAAACATCTACGAATATCTGTATGAAGTAACGTTTTAGAACATTGGTGTCAGGAATGGACTCAGCACTGGTGGTGGGACTCACCTGCCTTGTGGGCTGCAGTACCAGGGCTGACCAGCGGGTGCTCTCAGCAGCCAGAAGCTCACTCCTGCAGTCAGCCAACACCTGGGGCTGATTGCAGGAGGTGTATTTAAGGAATGACCAGGCCTGTGATCATGTTTCCCATGAGCCCCTGTACCTGGTATCCTGTGTTCCTGCCTAGTTGCTGACCCTGCTTTGATCCTGACCTCTGCTGACCGTCTCCTGTTGAACCCCTGGCTTGCCTGACTATCCTTCTGCCTGATCCTCTGTACCGTGCTGCCCGTGAGTTACTGAACCCAGCTTGTGACCCTGACTATTCTCTGCCTGCTCCTCCGGTACCTCACTGCCCGCACGTTGCTGACGTGGCCTGCCTGACTACGCCTGATGCTACCCAGATGATCCATCCCGCACGGATCCAGTCACTACTGTCCAAACCTGCCAGCCCCTTCACATCAGGCTTTCCCCCGGTACATACCCTCGGCGGACCCCTCTACCACAGTTGGGCGCACTCAGGGGCCGCGACCTGGTCTCAGTCCTGCGCCAAGTCCATCCCCACCATCAGGGGCTCTGGTGAAAAGGCAGAATGGGGCTTAGACTCCGCGCCCTGGGGAATCCTGTTCTGTGGGTCACTAGAGATCCCGCCGGGCGGTGCCTGACAGTACCTTACGGCCTGCCTGACTATTCCACCTCTCCAGCCTGACTACGCCTGTGTTCCTGAAGCCTGCTACTTCCCTGTGTCAGTCCACACATTTCTGGTCATACCCGGATCCCTAACAATTGGTCTAGAGAATCATACGATTGCCTTTGCGGTTTAGGAAAGTGTTCCCCTATTGGAGAAAACTGGACTTTTACCTTTGAACATTGTTCGTCTGTTCATTGTTCATGGACTCTGGTTTCTTCTATCTTGCAGAGAAATACTTTTCTTTTTTGCAAATAGTTGACATCATTTTTTTTTCTATTGCTTTATGAAAACCCGCTAGTGTAGCTAAATAATAGAGAATGGCCATTAAAAAATTATAAGATATCAACTGGAATATAATTAGAGCTGACTGAAATGGTTTGGAAACTTAGGAAACCTGAAGATTTTTTTAATTCTCTTCAATATAAGTTTGCTGATCTGTCCAGTATTCGCAGAATCATTATTTCTGGATAAGAACATTGCAGATTAAACATATCTACAGTATATACAAATATTCAGGAGAATCAAAAAGTAATGAATCAGTGACTCCCTGACTTGATCATGTTTTGTAATGCACAATCATAGAAGCCTGTAAGGGCAGGCTGGTGGTTGTTTGCCACGTCCTCTATGTTTTCCAGTTAACTTGTTGGGCGCGAAGTCTGGGAAACATGAGAGGCCTACCTCCGCGGTGGGTTCTTCTGGGCTACACTAGGCACCTTAGACAGAGTCTCTCCCTCTTCACATAAATGGGATACCTTTGTTTTAGTGCCATTTTCGCCAATGCCCTGGGACAAGACTGAGGTTGCCATTAAGGAATAATTGACTTTAAGGTGGACCTCTACTCTTAGAGATGAAAGTACACCAACTTGCACAACAACTGTTCTCTAGTTACTCTCAGTCCCTATGTAAATGTACATCTTCTCACTGAAGCTCGAATTCAAGTGGTATGTGCTGAACACTGACCACAACCACCTTTCCAGTGTTTTCCACAACCGATCCCGGTAGCAGCATGGAACCCAGACGTAAAAACACACACAAGAGTGTGCAAACTCCTCGTGCATTACCACCATAACATTTATTCCTACCTTAGAGATAAATGGGTACTTACAAATGATTAAAAACAGCAGGAATATAACATGAATGTATCAACCTTGGATGATACGTCCCATCTTGGAACCGTCTGAGCAGAAAGCTAACGCGTTTCAGAAGTCGAGCCCCCTTCTTCAGAGCTGACAGCTCTAAGGTTGAAATCAATTTTATGGTGGAAATGCACAAGGAGTTTGCACTCTCTTGTGTGTGTTTTTCCAGTTGACTGGAGTTTCCCTAATCTGTGGAGGGCTGTACCTGATGAAGCATTGAACACCATAGCGCATTCTGAAGTACCTTGGATTGAACACTGGAGTGTTTTTTGAGGAATTAATGTAACCCAGATGTGCATATAGTGCAGGCTCCAATGGGCACTTGACTTTAACTCTTAAACTTCAGTACCTCTGTAGAGGATGGGGACCTCTGCAGTGCAGTTCTATTTTGGTTGCTATGGGAGATGGAATGCGGCCTAAGGAGTGCTGACAACATCTTCCTCACGGTTAGAGGCACTTCCACCTATAACAGGCACATGTTCCAACAGGCTGCTTTCTAACTGTATCTTCCATTGCTCATGGCAACCACATGTATAGTTTGTACTAGAATGACTTTTAGCATGCTGACTCTTCATACCCCATGTGCTAGTGACCCAAGCTGTAGACTAAGTGCAAAGTTGTGCCAATTACTTGCATTGCACCCCTTTTGAGTAACTTCTGACCAGGCAAAAGGGAAAGTTTTGACGCTTTACTGAATAAAGTGCAACAGTACAAAGTCCAGCGTGACACAGTCTTTTCCTAAATCCCTAATCCTACTTAGGCTATGTGCTGTCCCGGCATACCTGCAAAGGTAAAGTCCATGTAGTTACAGAGTTTATCAGAGGTATTCTTCAGTAGCTTCTGTCTTCTGGGAGAACCCCAAGCTCTGATGACTTCACATGTTGACGACAGACTGTTCTATCTTTATACTTCTCCCAGGGACGGCTCTCTTTGGGGAACCAGGGGGACAGGCAAGATGGTGGAAAATAAGCAAGGCTAGACAATGGCAACAGCAGCAACAGCTTTTGGACTTGGCCCACTGTCCTCTTTCATATCCACAGGTGCAGTGGGTCAGACCCAACGATCCCGCCAAAAGCCAAAGAGCTGTGAAAAGGAAGATATATGAGACTGATAACCATGTTCCAGTCCACTGACTTCCAGGCCACCCCTCCAACTTGGGAGATTGGAGATATCTAATCCAGGGGTTCCAGACTTTTTCAAATCAAAGCAGTTTATCCTGGAGGATGCTAGCCAATTTTTTAATGAATCATAATCCAGGAAATGTTATGTTTGATTAATCACAGGAGTTTTCCATGCTTGCACTATAGTAATTTTGACTGCCAAAAAGATATAGAAGGCAAAAGTTCTGAGATGGTTTGGTAACTCGTTTGACAGTTCAGAAAATAATGCTGTCTTGACTTTCTTTGGGACATTCAGCCCAGTCATGGCACATGTTCCCCCCGTATTTTCATTCTTAACCCTTTTTTGTTTCAGTTGCAATATCATTTCTTTTCCTCTGTAATACCATTTTTCTGTAAATATTTTGTTTTCACAAACTTTGCGCAGAGTGAGACTGAGAGTGTCATTGTCATGCATTAGTAACAGAGCGGTGTGAGTATGACCTGCCATTTGCCACAAGTTGGTGAAGGTGCCCAGGGTCTAACTAAAGATCTACCATATTTTTCGCTCCATAAGACACACCTGACCATAAGACACACCTAGGTTTTAGAGGAGGAAAACAAGAAAAAAAATATTATGAACCAATGGACTGCAGACATAGTACAGGAAATGACCAGAGACTGCAGATGTACTACAGGAGATGACCAGAGACTACAGACATAGTACAGGAGATGACCAGAGACTGCAGACATGTGGATGTACTACAGGAGATGACCAGAGACCACAGACATACTACAGGAGATGACCAGAGACTGCAGACATAGTACAGGAGATGACCAGAGAATGCGGATGTACTACAGGAGATGACCAGAGAATGCGGATGTACTACAGGAGATGACCAGAGACTGCAGACATAGTACAGGAAATGACCAGAGACTGCGGACATACTACAGGAGATGACCAGAGACTGCGGACATACTACAGGAGATGACCAGAGACTGCGGATGTACTACAGGAGATATCCAGAGACTGCGGGCATAGTACAGGAGATGACCAGAGACTGCAGGCATAGTACAGGAGATGACCAGAGCCTGCGGACATACTACAGGAGATGACCAGAGACTGCGGACATAGTACAGGAGATGACCAGAGCCTGCAGACATACTACAGGAGATGACCAGAGACTGCAGACATAGTACAGGAGATGACCAGAGACTGCAGACATAGTACAGGAGATGACCAGAGACTGTAGACATAGTACAGGAGATGGCCAGAGACTGCAGACCTTTGGGGAGCGGGTACCCGAATTTGACAGGTACCTGTTCCTACTTTGCGCTCTCTCCCCATAGTCTTCTGAGACATGTGACAGGTCCCAGAAGACTACGGGACTATTCACAAAGCACAACGCTGCTCGCGCATGCGCAGTGGGTGCCCACACTAAAGATGATGTGATGAGGTAATGAAGACACCGCTGGACCGAGGAGCAGGTTCTGCTGCACAGAAGAGCCGATATTCTAACACAGTAGTGACAGGGGTCATACCGGGCCGACCGCTCCATAAGACGCACAGACATTTCCCCCCCATTTTTTGGGGGGGGAAAAGTGCGTCTTATGGAGTGAAAAATACAGTATATAGGAAAATCAGGACCTCTGTTCTCCTGTTGGTGATCCCTCTAGTAATAACTAAAGGGGATTAACTATATAGGGGAATCAGGGCTTCTTTCCTCCTGTTGGTGATAAATCCATATTTATGCCACAATATTTGTTATTCTATTCAACTAGTCTAGTGATTTACATAACTCCAACACACTGCAGGGTGACAGCATTATTTTCTAGTTTAGCTTTGCAGTTTCTTGGGCCATCAAGACGCCCATTGGACTTTGAAAGAACATCAGCACACTAGCATGGTGTTCTGCTCCACCTATAAGCCACCTAATCACCCTCGCAACAAGCATCCAGAATATGAAACTACACTATATTGCCAAATGTATTGGGATATCCCTCAAAATCACTGGATTCAGGTGTTCCACCTCCATGGCCACAATTGTATAAAATCAAGCATCTAGCCATGCAGACTGCTTCTACAAACATTTTTTGAGAGAATGGGTCACTCTTTGGAGCTCAGTGAATTAAAACATGGTACCGTGATAGGTTGCCACCTGTGCAATAAGTCAATCCATGAAATTTCCTTACAACGAAATATTCCATAGTCAACTGTTAGTGGTATTATAACAAAGTGGAAGCAACTGGGAACAACTGCAACTCAGCCACGAAGTGGTAGACCACGTAAAATGATAGACCGGGGTCAGCGCATGCTGAAGGGCACAGTGCACAGAAGTCACCAACTGTCTGCAGAGTCAATAGCTAAAGACCTCCAAACTTTATGTGGCCTTCAGATTAGCACAACAACAGTGTGTAGAGAGCTTCATGGAATGGGTTTCCATGGCCGAGCAGCTACATCCAAGCCTTACATCACCAAGTGCAATGCAAAGCGTTGGATGCAGTGGTGTAAAACACACTGCCACTGGACTCTAGAGCAGTGGAGTTGTGTTCTCTGGAGTGACCAATCATGCTTTTCTGTCTGGCAATCCGATGGATGGGTCTGGGTTTGGAGGTTGCCAGGAGAACAGTACTTGTCTGACTGCATTGTGCCAAGTGTAAAGTTTGGTGGAGGGGGGATTATGATGTGGGGTTGTTTTTCAGTGGTTGGGCTTGGCCCCTTAGTTCCAGTGAAGGGAACTCTTAAGGCTTCAGCATACTAAGAAATTTTGGACAATTTTATGCTCCCAACTTTGTGGGAACAGTTTGGGGATGGCCCCTTCCTGTTCCAACATGACTACACACCAGTGCACAAAGCAAGGTCCATAAAGACATGGATAAGTGAGTTTGGGGTGGAGGAACTTGACTGGCCTGCACAGAGTCCTGACTTCAACCCGATAGAACACCTTTGGGATGAATTAGAGTGGAGACTGTGAGCCAGACCTTCTCGTCCGATATCAGAGCCTGGCCTCACGAATGCGCTTCTGGAAGAATGGTCAAACATTCCCATAGACACCCTCCTAAACCTTGTGGACAGCCTTCCTAGAAGAAATTAAGCTGTTATAGCTGCAAAGGGAAGGCCAACTCAATATTGGACCCTGTGGACTAAGATTGGGATGCCATTAAAGTTCATCTGCGTCTATAGGCAGGCGTCCCAATACTTTTGGCAATATAGTGTACATTTGACTGACAACATTATACAAAAGGCTGAATTCACACAGTTACACAAAGATAAAAGTGAGCTATTGTTAGTTGTGTCCAATGAGATTTGAAAAGTACAGTCACATGGTTTGTGTAAAGCTTCAGGAATTGATACTTAATTTAAATTTACAACGCCTAATTGACTTACAGTGCATAACCTCAGAATCTGAATCTGATTTCTGAGGAGTAAAAGACCATAAGAAGATACCATAAATATAGATTTCAGGAAGTAATATTAGATGCATTTAAAATATGCTGAATTATCTTTTTAATGAAGACATAACTGGGTGTAGTTAATATTTGTCTGCAATTCCACTTTAAGATGGAATCATAAATACCCATGTTCACATCAAAGTAGTTGCATTAACATCCTTTAATCCAAAAGCTCATTAAGCGCTCGTTAGAGAAAAGAGGAAAAAAATAGTCATTAGCAGGAGACAGACGTGTAATGAATAGCATATAGAAATGATGCTTTATCATTTGAAGTTTGGACTTGGAGCAGACGCGGTATCCACCTCTTGCACTCAGTGCCATGATCCCTGGCGCTGCTCTGCCAAATTGCAAAATTAGAACATTCAAAGTGATTACAATGAACAGCTACACACGGCGAAAGCAGCGCTATTATTATCCTATGAGAGGTATTTCTGCTTATACGTGGTGCAATAAGAGGGGTGATTGGATCCGTGAGCATACCATTTAAACAAAAAGGAAATTGAAGTCTGTAAATTGCTATAATATAAAATAATGTCAATTTGCTATTACTCTTGTTAAAGCTGAACTCCAGGGAAAGTGAAAATCCTACTAGGCAGTGGAGCTGCCCCCACAGCCTAACTATATCTATTATTAAAATTGTTCCCTCTCCCCTCCTCCTACCTATCCTGCCTAACCTGTATAAAAAAGATCTGTGTAATTACCTATTTTTAATATGTTTTGGTCTGGTCATGTGATCCCGCAGCTCCAGCTCCCCTGTGTTAGTGAGCAGGGGAGAAGGGGGTAGCACTACTCCTGCAGGAGCCACTTGATAGATTGGGTTCTCTGTTCTTTGCCTCAATGAGGTGAACAACCTCAGCCCCTCTGATACATCAGGTTAAGTAAAAAAGATATTGCACTACTATTACTAGCACCAGCAAAAATATCCTGCCCACACGATAGTTCAGTATCAGAACAACATGGATTTCAATGTGTACATATGGGAACAAGTAGCGTGTAAGTCAAACACAATTCTCTAGACAAAGAAGTTACTATATTGTAGCAATTTAGAATAAGTAGCCATATAGTTACCATAATCTCTATATCTGGGGATAAATGGCACAGATAACATAAACGGCAATGGTAATCAGTGCTGTAAAAACTTTTTCTTGGACCAGTATGCTACACTGCCTAGACTGCACTCTATATGAATGACTGTGCTAAGACTTAGACCTGTCTGCAAAGGAACTCCTTTTATAGGCAGCAATTGAAGTCCTTATAGTGCAGCTATCTGAGAAGACAGTCCTCTGCCCTACTTTTCAGCCAGCTAGTGTTGGGACCCAGGCCTTACGGTGGTACACTAAGTACAGTCCCAGTAAAGTCTGAATGCAGTGGTAAAGGTTGGTAGTCAGATCTCCAGTCCCTATATGCTGAGTCTCTGCTAGCAGCAACAGCAGCAGTAGTGCCCTCTCACCAGTCCCTGTGACACAGCAGCTCTGGTCCCACTGTTCAGATGTCAGTCTACTTCTAAGTTTCCTGGAGTGACTCCAGTCCTCAGCACCCAGATTATCAGCTCTCTGGTTTCTGTGTCAGCCACAGGCTTGTAGCAGATTGATGTGAACACAGGAGTAACGATGTGCACACCTAGGTCCCCTCACAGCAAAGAAAATGTCACTCGGCATTCAACCCAGGAAAATACAGCTCCCTCTCCTTAAAGTAATTGTAAATGTAATTTTTTTAAAAATAATAAATAGGTTTACACTACTGCTCTGGGCAATGGAAGAGACCCCAAACCTCCTCTTCTCAGCTCCCCTGCTGGCACTCCAGGCTCCTCCTCTCTGGCAAGTGCCCCCATAGGAAGCTGCTTCCTATGAGGGCACTTGTGCAGGCTCGCTGCCAAGCCCCACTGCCTGTGTACATAGACACATACAGAGGAACATGGCCACTGGCTTTGATTGACAGCCATTGGTTCCCGCTACTTCAGCAAAGCCTGTGAAACCAAGAAGTGAGGGGAGAGAGGCACTGCGGAAGAGCTTAGCGGTAGATCGAATGAAGGCCCAAGTAAGCGTAATGGTGGGTGGAGGGGGAAGACAATACTGACGTCTAAACATTTTATACCTTAATGCAAGGAATGCATTAAAAGAGAAGTATGGGGTTTAAAAAACAAAACTACTGGCTTCCTGATCTGTCCCTCTGGCGCTCACTGGAGGGACTCAGTGGATCGCTGAGAGGCTCAGCCAGGTGCCAGTCCATGGTTCTGGGTGGATCCCATATGGTTAGGATCTTTCAAGAGCCTGGACCGGCTTTGTGATATCAGCCGACAGTGGGCATCAGCTGAGACTGGGCCACAGGACTGCAGTTCATCCATAGGAGAAGTACAGCTAAAAGAGTTTTGACTGTACTTCTCCTTTAAGGTAAAATGTTTAGGTTTTTATAACCACTTTAAACCTGGCTCACATTGGGGATTGTAGCCCAGTCATCCATTAACTGTCATAGAGTTTCTCTCCCAAACTACATCTCCCATGGTTCAATGCTGCCAACTAACAAGTCTGTTGAGCTACTTCTGCTTGTCAGCTCCCCCTAGTGTGTGGAGGAGAGGTAGTGTTAACCCATTCAGCCTGAAGTCCATTGGAGGCACAGAGAGAACTGCAGCACGGTGCCCTAAGACCTCGTTCACACCAATGCATTTTTTTGTGAATTTTGCTTTTTTGGAGAAACGCATCAGGGGCACTTTAAATAATGGCAGGGGTGTACTGACTCCTATTTAACATGATTTTGAATGTGATTGCTTAATTCTGAACACAGCTACATCCCCATTTATAAGAGGGTGTACACATTTATGCATCCACATTATTTTAGTTTTTTATGTTTACTCCCCCCCCCCCAAAAGATTTCAGTTTGTTTTTCAATTTAGTTGTACAGTTTATAGATCACATTAAAGGTGGAAAAAGTTCTGAAATTATTTATCTTTGTCTCATTTTCTTTACATCACAGAAACTTGATATTGTAACAGGCTTTTTATATCCACTGTATACTGGAA